AAAAAAAAAAAAAAACAAAACTGTTTGTCATACTTGCTATGTGGTGTGACCATGAGCTAGACACTTACCCACTATAAGCTTCTAGTCTAAAATGGAGATAAGAGTGGGATTATAATTTTTTTTTTAGAGACAGAGTTTCACTTTATTGCCCTGGGTAAAGTGCTGTGATGTCACAGCTCACAGCAACCTCCAACTTCTGGATTTAGGCGATTCTCTTGCCTCAGCCTCCCAAGGAGCTGGGACTACAGGCACCCGCCACAACACCCGGCTAAAGAGAATTATTATAAACCTTTTGTAAACTGTAAAATATTGCCCAGGTATTAGTTTCCTTAAGCTAAAATTTGAAACAGGTTAGCCTGGCACAGTGAGACATGCCTGTAGTCCTAGCTACTCCAGGATACTGAGGCAGGAGGATCACTTAAGCAAGAATTTGAAACCAACCAAGGCTATACTGGGACCCCTATCTCAAAATACTTAAGAATTTGGAATAGGGTAAATAGGCCTATCTCAGTCCCTTCTCACTTGGGACCGATTCCTACTTTCCTATACTTTGTCTCTTCTCTACCCTTTCTTTGATATTTTTGCTTTCTCTTTTGCTCTCACATAGTCACTGTTCATTTTCCTTGGCCTTTTCTTCTGAGTGTGGTTTTCTCTCTCCGTCCTAACCAGCTTCTGGCTCCTCAAGGTGCTGTTGCTATTGAGTCTCTGTGCTATTGCCTTCTGCATCCCTGATGAGCATCTCTTCCCAGGTACTATCTCACACCCTGATCAGAAGTAGGCTGGGGTTTTTGTTTTTGTTTTGGGGGGGGGGTTTGAACCCACCACCTCCAGTACAAGGGCCAGTGCCCTACTCCTTGAGCCACAGGCACCACCCCAGTAGGCTGTTTTCTAAGACAAAAAATGGGTAAGGAATAATAATTTGACATTTCTCCACTGGTGCCCATCTTGCAGCCTGGCATTACATTGGCATCTGTGGAGGGTTCACATTTATCCTACTGCAGTTGGTGCTTATCACAGCCTTTGCCCATTCCTGGAACAAGAACTGGTAAGGGGCACATAACCTCAAAGGCTCTTCCTAGGGAAGGTGTGTTGGGATTACTAAATGCAGAAGGGCTGGGCAAGGGGAACTGCAGGTTATTGGTCTCAAAGCTTCCCATAATGCCAAAAAGCTGAAAGAGGCTCGGCGCCTGTAGCTTAGCAGTTAGGGCACCAGCCACATACACCAGAGCTGGTGGGTTCAAACCTAGCCCAGGCCTGTGAAACAATGACAACTACAACAACAAAAAAAATAGCCGGGCATTCTGGTGGCACCAGTAGTCCCAGCTACTTAGGAGGCTGAGGGCAAGAGAATCGCTTAAGCCCAAGAGTTTTAGGTTGTCGTAAACTGTGATGCCAGGGCACTCTACCTAGGGCGTCAGCTTGAGCCTCGGTCTCAAAAAAGGAAAAACTCAAAAAAGAGTTTGATGACTGTGAGGGCCAGTTGGGGTGGGAGTGACACTAGTCTTCTGGGAGAATGGGATTATTGTTCATAGTTGATAATGGGTAAAAGAGTTGGAACTCCAAGCTACTGCCCACCTCCCACCCTTAGGCAGACAGGTGCAGCCCAAGACTGCAGCTGGTTCCTAGCTGTGCTGCTGGCCACCCTAGGATTCTACACCATGGCAGGTTTGGGAGCTGTGCTCCTGTTCCAACACTATACACACCCTGCTGGCTGCCTGCTCAACAAGATGCTGATTAGTCTGCACCTTGTCTTCTGTGGCCTCATCTCCTTCCTCTCCATCGCTCCTTGCATCCGACTCAGTGGGTACTTGCCCTAAAATACTACAGATTTAGGGTCTTATAGTGTAGCAAATTTCATTAGCCTCTGTAATCTCAATTATCAAAAATCTGTTTCCCCAAGGGCAAGGCAGACAGAAGAGCAGGTGGGGGTAGGAGTGGAGGAAATTACCACCCTGTAGACCAGTGGTTCTCAACCTTCCTAATGCTGTGACCCTTTAATACAGTTCTGTGGGTCACGACCCACAGGTTGAGAACGGCTGCTGTAGACTAAAGCAATTAATACTCCTTTTACCCAGAAAAACCCCGCTCTGGCCTTCTACAAGCCTCTATCATCAGCTGCTATATCATGTATCTGACCTTCTCTGCACTGTCCAGCCGTCCTCCTGAGAGAGGTAAGGAACAGTACAGGACTCCCCATGTTATTATCTTTTTGGTTCCTGCCAAATGCTCAGCTCTTGTTCTCAACACCAAACTCTTGTGTTGCTCCTTCCCAGTAACCCTTCAAGGACAGAATCACACCCTGTGCCTGCCTGGCCTGAGCAAAAGGGAACCACAAACACCAGATACCTCAATAGCAGTGTTGAGTGCTGGCATCATGTATGCTTGTGTACTTTTTGCTTGGTGCGTAAAAGGTGTCAAAGGAGGGAAGATGTTTGGGACCATGGTTTACACTTTAGAGTAATACTAGAAAAAGTTCCCCATACACAGCAACATTAAGAAGAGCACTTTGCCAAACAATCTGTGTGAGATGTGATGGGAGCAGGGAGGATGGAATAGGACACAGGGAACACAGTAACCCTTCTTCCTGGGGGATCACCAATATAGACCAACTAGCAGAAAATGCCCCGGACAGTCCCTATTATTGACTAGACCAGTCTGAGAACTCTTTTTCTTTCTCAGCAATGAGGCTTCCTACTTGGCTGAGGTATTTGGACCCTTGTGGATTGTTAAGGTTTACAGCTATGAGTTCCAGGTAAGCATTGAGCGCTCAATATCCCCAACACCCATCTGCCCCCAACACACAGACACACACACCCTACCAACCTCCACCCAGAATGCTCAGATTCTAGCTATACCTTTTATTGAGCACTCACAATGTGCTAAGCACTGTGCTAGATACTTTACATACATTATCTCATTTAATTTAATCCTCACAACAACCCTGTGAGGTAGGTACTTGCTCCATTTTACAAATGGAGAAATTGAGGCACAAAAAATTAAACATCTTACCGAAGTTCGCATAGTCATTTATATTCTGGAGTTAAATTTGAACCCAGGTGTGCCTCCACTTTTTACATAACCAGTCTTTTCTAGGGGTAGTTTCTTAGATTAACACCATCACTTTTTAAAGCCATTCTAAAACATGCCGTCTCCTGTTCTGTAGAAGCCCTCACTCTGTTTCTGCTGCCCCGAAACACTAGAGGCGCAGGAAGGTGAGTGTCAAGTGAGGAGCTGTAAGAAATGGTAGAGTGCCAAAGAACCATCAAGTAGCTGGGGGAGGAGGGAAGAGTTCAGCAGCACTGCTCCCAGCAGCCCTTCCATCTTTCCAGGACCTGGAACTGCCCAGCCAGTTGACCAAGAGACCCCTCCAGCTCCTCCAGAGCAAGCCCAGCATCTTTCCTACAGCTATTCTGCCTTCCACTTTGTCTTTTTCCTTGCCTCACTTTATGTCATGGTTACCCTTACCAACTGGTTCAGGTAGGATGGAGGTGGGTCTGAGATACTCTTGAATACATACATATTTTAGGGGAAAAACAATTCAAGGGCATTCCAGGTAAAACGGATTTCCCATCTTTTGTGGGGAGGTAGAACAGGTCTAAATACTAAGGGCCTGCAGGTTATCTAACTAGAGCCTTTGGTTCCACAGCTATGAGGGAGCAGAACTGGAAAAGACTTTCACCAAGGGTAGCTGGGCTACCTTCTGGGTCAAGGTTGCCTCCTGCTGGGCCTGCGTACTGCTCTATCTGGGGTTGCTACTGGCACCATTCTTTTGGTGTCCCACCCAGGATCCTCAGCCTCCTATGTTCAGACGACACTGCCATCGCATCAGCATCATGAGATAACAAACTGTCTCCCGTTAACTGGGGTTTCCCTGAGGTTTTAAGCCTTGTTATGGCTAAGGGGAGCTGTCCAGCCCAGCTCAATACCTCAAGAACACAATAGGGAGTTTTTCCTCCCTTCAGGCTAAAGTCAATAGTATGTCTAAACTGGAAGACGTGGTCATATACACCCTAATGCCCTGGGCAGAGGATCTGATTGACTGGAATTACTGTCATGTCTTCATCCCAGCTCAAGAGCCTAACTCACAAATCAGCAACTCAGGAACCACTGCTGATTCCAGCAGACAGTGTGGCACCAGCCCTTTCCTGGCTCTTGAGCTGGAGGTGGGGGCAGGGAAAGACCAGGGACTGAAGACTTGGCTCTACTCTTGGAAATAAAAAGAAAATACACAGTTCAGCCCTGGGCAAAGGCATATAAGAAGCCCAGAACCATAGAACAAACCAAGGTATAGAAGAAAGGAGCACCGAGGCTACCACAGGTTTTTATCCTGATCTTGAGGTCAAAGGAAGCAGGGAAACAAAAACTACCCTCATTCCACGAGGAATGACACAAGAGAATGTGAACACTTGAGAGCAGCTGACCACGGGAAGTTGGTGAGCAGCGGGATTTTTTGGCCAGCTTTCAAGCAGAGGAATAAACTAAGGAAGAATGAGGAAGAGAGCCATAAACTTATGTCTTGGAGCCCTCCCTCTTCGGCCCTCAACTCTATCCTTGGGATGGTGTTCAAAGGTCTGGGTGAGGAACAAAAATCACAGAAAAGAAGTCTCTATGATTCTTAGAGGATTCCTCTACCACATTTCTGGAGTACTTGTCTGGTTGTCATTATATAATAAAGGTTTCTGTGATGTTTCACACTCTCAGTCTACATTTCCACAATCTCTTAGGAGTCTAAAGAGCTCTCCCTTTTGGTGGGAAAGGGCAGTCATTCCTCCATCCCCATCCCCCCAAATCCCCATTCAGACCAGGCGCTCAAGGAATTACAAAGCTACTTTTAATACTTTGGGGTGAGCCCCACAGGAATAAAAAACACTGGGAAGGGGTAACCCCCTCACCCCCAGGAGTGGTCCAGGGGGAGAGAGGCTACCTGAGGGAAAGGAAGCACAAAAGGGACCCGCTGCAGACTCAGGGCAAAGGGAATGCCATCGGTGCTGGGACCTGTGAGCACTACAGGAGGAAACGCGAGCGTGGTGGGACTGGCTCCAGGCACACAGGCGAAGGGCAAGAGGGTTGGACACGAAGCCACAAAGCTACTTGGGTTCCTCCTTCTTCTCGTTTGCCTTTTTCTGCTTCTGCTGCATGATCTCCGAGTCCCTGGGGGTAGAGATGATGGGGCACTGGGAGGTACCAGAGGGCAAAAAGGACAAGATGCAGGGGGATGAAGGGCACAAAGGATAAGATGGAAATGGATGGGACAAAGTTCAGCGTGTGGCTGCTATATTCCCACCCTAGGAGAACAAGAGGAAAAGAGCTGAGGCTCAAAAGGGCAATCAGTCTCCATCTGGCTGTTGCCCAAGGGGTCAGAAGTCTGGCACACAGGCCCAAGGCTCTCTATACTGTGCTGAGTAGTACCACACCCAGCAGTACTAACGAGAAGGTTGGGAGAAGGGAGGAGAATCGAACAGCAAGGAGGGCCAAAAGTACTGGGCTGTCAAAACCATAAGTGTATTTGAAACGTGAAGCTCCCTGCCCTTCCCCTTAAGGTCAGACCCAGGGGCACTCAGAAATCAACTGAGGGCAGGTACCCGTCCCAGTCCCTTCCTGTAAGACTGAAAGCTAACAATTTGGAATGCACTCTGCCGCTCCTCCAGACACAAGCCCTGAAGTAGCTCTTTCCTACTACAACCCCTGGTCTAACCCCCACCCCTTCCCCTCCCTGAGGCTACCTCTGCTTGCGGGCGGCAGCAGAAAGCCCGTCATCTCGGCGCTTTCCCTTAACCGAGTCGCTCTGCTTTTTCATATTCTTCTGGCGGGCGAGCTCACGCTGGTTACCGCCTAAGAAAAGAAGGCAGAAGGTGAGACCCGGGGACCTCTCTGGCCACATACCGGCGACCCTTCTCCCCAACCCCGGACAGCTGGGAACGAGGCAGCTTGGGGGAGGGGGAGAGGAAGCGAAGCTGCCACAGGCCAGGTCAAATTGCAGGTGGAGAGGGAACAGTCCCGAAGAGCCCGCTGGGAGGATGCTTTGAGTTTGGGGGCGGTATGGGGGCCCAGACAGGTGGTGGGAAGTGTATGGAAGGTTTGGATCTCTATAGTGAATGAGCTGGATTGTGGAGCAGGGAGCTCTGGGCCAACCACAGGAGCGCAGGGGTTCAAACACCGCGGAAGGTCGGGGAGGGCCAATGCCTAACCGGGAAAAGGGGGGGCGGGGGGTCGTGAAGTGGTAGCAAGCAAAGGGCTCAATTTCCGGGCTGCAAGCTTAAGGGTGGCTACAGAGCGCTCCCAGACAAGGCCCTCGCCGAGGAAGCTAAGGGGGCATCAAGGCAGGCGCTTCGTAGGTGGCGCTTAGGACAGACAGAAATAAAGGGGCAACAGAAAAGGGTCTCAGCGCTCACGGGTCATGGCGACGGCAGCGGCTCCGGCCTGCCTCCGTTGCGTTCCCTCGTTCTGTCCGACGTTGCAGACCCCGCCCCCTTCTCGCAGCGTAACGAAGTCGTCCCCTTCCTCCCCGCCCCTTCGCTCCCGGGCGCCGACCCCTATTGGGTAGGAAGAAGCACGTGCGGCTGCGGCCCCCGCTCCAGCCGGGGCGGAGGTCCGCGGGCGGAGCGCGCAGCGTGAGGCGGGGCTTCCTGAGCGAGGCGCTGGGCCAGGCCCGGGGAAACTAGGACGGGTCACGTGGGCTGGGTGGGTGAAGAGGGGTGCGGCTGGCGATGTGGCACTCCCGCGGGCCCGAGCACGTGACAGGGCAGAGTGACCTCATGCGGGGACAGTTTGGGGTTCTGGCAAAGTCGCCCTGAAGGCTCGCGGTGGGGGGATGGAGGGCGGGGGTTCAGCCAGTTCTGTGTTATCAGGACTCTGCGGCTAAATTTGGCCCTGTTACTTAGGACATCCTCCAGCTGTTTATTTGGACACGAAGTATTCACAGCTCGTGTAAAATCAGGTACAAACGTAGCTTTAGAAACCTCTGCCAAGTTCATTGTTCGCTTCCAAGCCCCTGCAATATAGAAAATCGCAGTCACATCTGCTATGTGCTTAAAGTCTGGTCCTGTTTATTTCCCCACAGAAACTTTGAACGTGAAGACGCAGTAGCTTGGAAGTATTGAAGGATTCCCAAAACCACAGACTGCGGAGTTGGATCAGCTGAGATTTAGGGAACTGCACATACTAAGTCCATTTTTCTCTCTGGATAATATCCCTGTTGTATTATAGTAGCCTCACCTGGCACACCTGGTTTTTAGATAAGACCAGAAGCTAAAATTAAACTCATCATTCACAGCTCTACTCACCTACAACACCCTCCACCGGACCTGAAGAATTCGTTGGATAAAGTAGAAATGCTTAGAAAACATAAAGGGAAAAGATTGGTTGTAAATTTTAACTTGTGATTCTATCCAGCTATTACTCATAGCAGAACCAAATTGAGGCTGAAACTTCAAATTGGCTTCCCCCTCTGGACGTAATAAACCTCAGTACCGTCCTGATCATTTTTTCCATACCCATGTATCACCTGAACTACTTAATACTTTGTATCAGTCTTAAATAAAGGATATAATTCAAACTTTATATTCATGAAATGAATTTACAATCTGTATTACTTGCCCATGGAAAGTGAGAATAAAATGGAGTTAGGCAAAGGCTAAAATGTCCAACCTGAATTGGTTTATTACCTGAGTGACCTTCACCTCGTGTCTTCCTTCTGTATTGTTTTGTAAATTCAGCTCTAACCTAAAAGTGTGTGTCTTGAGTAGTTTAGTGTGACTGATTTAGGAGATTAACTTCTGAATTAAATATGTTTTGAGTCAGCTCGGTGCCCGTGGCTTAAGCAGCTAAGGCATCAGCTACATACACCTGAGCTGGCAGGTTCCAATCTAGCTCAGGCCCAGCAAAACAACAATGACGGCTATAACCAAAAAAAAAGAATAGCCGGGCGTTGTGGCTGGCGCCTGTAGTCCCAGCTACTTGGGAGGCAGAGGCAGGAGAATCGCTTGAGCCCAGGAGTTGGGGGTTGCTGTGAGCTGTGATGCCACAGCACTCTACCCAGGACGACAGCTTGAGGCTCTGTCTCAAAAAAATAAAATAAATGTTTTGGGTCATGAGTTATGCCAGATTATTGTTTACTATGGGTCATGGGTTATGCTGATTATTTTTAAGATAAGAGTTAATATGTTTTGTTTTGTTTCCAGTTTTTGGCCTGGGCTGAGTTTGAACCTGCCACCTCTAGCATATGGGGCCAGCGTCCTAGTCCTTTGAGCTACAGGTGCTGTCCATTAATATGGTTTTTACTTTGAACTTTTTTTTTTTTGGCCAGGGCCGGGTTTGAACCCACCACCTCTGGTATATGGGGCCGGTGCCCTACTCCTTGAGCCACAGGCACCACCCTTTACTTTCAACTTTTGCGTACAAAACTGTAGTTTTGGAAATGGAAGGGCAGAGCAATCTTGGAGAGGCTGCCTGTTCTCCAAAATTGCTGGCCTTCTGTTAATAAAGCCCTTCTAAAACTAACCCTCATCTCTGCATGTGGCTGCCAGTGACAGGCTGTGGACCCTCTCTGTCCAGCAACAAAAGAAACTATAAAATAAGGAGGTACTTCATGACTGTGTAGTCCCAGCACTTTGGGAGGTTAAGGCAAGAGTAGCACCCAACATGAGGAGATCAAGACCAATCTGGGGGACAGACCAAAAGATGGCCCCTGCTGCAGAAGCAGCCTCCGTAGCAGGTGGGAAGCCCGAGGTGGTGCTGGTGATGGTGGCCTGGGAGTCTTTGGTGGCAGTGGCAACGGCAGCTGCTGTGGCAGTGGTGACAGCTACAGGGACTTGAAGCTGAGAGGAGCTGCTGCTCTGACCAGCATGGTTATATTCACACTATCTGCTGACTGTATCTACAGAAGATATTTAAAAATAAATAAATAAATAAACTTTTTCAAAGATTTTGATTTCAGTGGAATCTTTGCTTTAGATTTTTTGTGTATGTGTTAGTGAACTGTAATTCCAGAAGCAATGCCTGTACAAGCTCCACAACGGACGTAGTTCCTCTCCTGCCCAATTTCCAGCTTTCCAGGATATTTTCAGACCTATCTTCCATAAGGGCCAGCACAATCCTCCACCATGAAAGTAAACTCACTCAGAAACGTTTGATCCAATTATAAATTCCATGGTGGCAAAAGTATTAAAAATGTCTGCTGTACTTTTGAAAAACTTGATACCCAAAAGTCTACCAGGCTTATCAATATTCACAGTTAATGTGAATGGCTTAAATTGTCCTCTAAAAAGGCACAGATTGGCTGACTGGATACAAAAACTCAGGCCCTATATCTGTTGCATACAAGAATGTCATCTTTCCTTAAAAGATAAATATAGACTCAGGGTGAAGGGATGGTCATCTATGTTCCAGGCAAATGGAAATCAGAAAAAAGGTGTTGCAATTCTATTCGCAGATACAATAGGCTTTAAACCAACAAAAGTAAGGAAAGATAAGTCTGGTCACTTCATGTTTGTTAAGGGTAACACTCAACATGAGGCGATTTTAATTATTAACATTTATGCACCCAACCAGAATGTGCTTCAATTTATAAGAAACATGAGCAACTTGATTTCCTCTAGTACTATAATAGTCAGAGATTTATTTTTATTTTTATTTTTTGAGACAGCGCCTCAAGCTGGCCCCCTGAGTAGAGTGCTGTGGCATCACAGCTCACGGCAACCTCCAACTCCTGGGCTCAAGCGAGTTGGGCTCCTGCCTCCGCCTCCCAAGTAGCTGGGACCACAGGCACCCACCACAACACCTGGCTATTTTTGGTTGCAGCCATCATTGTTGTTTGACAGCCAGGGCTGGATTCAAACCCGCCACCTTAGGTGTATGTGGCTGGCACCTTAGCCGCTTGAGCCACAGGCACCAAGCCAATAGTCAGAGATTTTAACACTCCTTTGGCAGTGTTGGATAGATCCTCCAACAAGAAGCTAAGCAAAGAACTTTTAGACTTGAACATAACCATTCAACAACTGGATTTAACAGACATCTACAGAACATTTCATCCTAACAAAACTGAATACACATTCTTCTCATCAGCCCATGGAACATACTCGAAAATCAACCACATCTTAGGTCACAAGTCTAACCTCAGAAAATTTAAAAGAATAGAAATTATTCCTTGCATCTTCTTGGACCATCATGGAGTAAAAGTTAACTCAGTAACAACAGGAATCTGCATACTCATACAAAAACATGGAAACTAACCTTATGCTGAATGATAGCTGGGTCATAGATGAGACTAAGAAGGAAATTGCCAAATTTTTGGAATAATGAAGACACGAATTATCAGAACCTCTGGGATACTGCAAAGGCAGTCCTAAGAGAGAAATTTATAGCATTGCAAACCTTCCTAAAGAGAACAGAAAGAGAGGAAGTTAACAACTTAAACGGACATCTCAAGCAACTGGAAAAGGAGGAACATTCAAATCACAAACCCAGCAGAAGAAAATAACCAAAATTAGAGCAGAATTAAATGAAATTGAAAATGAAAGGAATATACGACAGATCAATAAATCAAAAAATTGATTTTTTGAAAAGGTCAACAAAATAGATAAACCTTTGGCCAACCCAACAAGGAAAAAAAAGAGTAAAATCTCTAATTTCACCAATCAGAAATGGCAAAGATGAAATAACAGACTCCTCAGAAATTAAAAAAATCTTTAATGAATATTACAAGAAACTCTATTCTCAGAAGCACGAAAATCTGAAGAAAATAGACTGATACTTGGAAACACGCCACTTTCCTAGACTTAGCCAGAATGAAGTGGAAATGTTGAACATGCCTATATCAAATTCTGAAATAACATCAACTATACAAAATCTCCCTAAAAAGAAAAGCCCAGGACCAGATGGTGTCACATCAGATTCTACCAATCCTTTAAAGAGGAACTAGTACCTATATTACTCAACCTTTTCCAAAATATAGAAAAAGAAGGAACACTACCCAACATTCTATGAAGCAAACATCACCTTGATCCCCAAACCAGGAAAAGACCCAACAAGAAAAGAAAACATAGACCAATATCACTAATGAATATTGATGTGAAAATAATCAACAAGATCCTAACAAACAGAGTCCAGCAGCACATCAAACAAATTATACACCATGACCAAGTGGGTTTATCCCAGGATCTCAAGGCAGGTTCAATATGTGTAAATCTATAAATATAATTTATCACATAAACAAAATAAAAAAGACCATATGATTCTCTCAATTGATGCAGAAAAAGCTTTTGATAATATCCAGCATCCTTTCATGATCAGAACATTTAAGAAAATTGGTATAGGCTCAGAGCCTGTGGCTCAAGTGGCTAAGGCGCCAGCCACATAAATCTGAGCTGGCGGGTTCAAATCCAGCCTGGGCCCACCAAACAACAATGATGGCTGCAACCAAAAAGAAAATAGCCAGGCGTTGTGGCAGACACTGGTAGTCCCAGCTACTTGGGAGGTAGAGGCAGGAGAGTCGCTTGAGCCCAGGAGTTGGAGGTTTCTGTGAGCTATGATGCTACGGCACTCTACTCAGGTGACAGCTTGAAGCTCTGTCTCAACAAAA